AAAAAAAAAAAAAGAAAAAAAAAGGATCACGAAGAAGAGAATAATACAGCAAGAAATAAAGCAACCAACGAAGGCACGTGTGTCTCTAGTGTCCGTGTTTTTTGCTCCGTCTCTTTCTGCTCTTCGCTCTTTTTTTCTTATTCTTTCTTTTTTTTTTTCTCAATTGATTAATTTGCGTTTTCTTTTTTTTTTTCTCGTCTTCTCTTTTGGGTTCCGTCTTCGCGAACGACCGTGTACACAAGGTACATTTTGTGTATGTATGTATGTATATACATATGTATTAATCATCCTCTCCTAGGAACATATCACACGCGTATCCCACAGCTATATTTTTCTTCAAAGGCATATCAAAACTGTTCCGCACGGTCTTTTTTAGCAAAGAAAAGAAAAGAAAAGAAAGGAAAACGTATATCGACACGCGTCTCGCTCTCTGTACCTTCGTGTTCCTCTCTCGCTGCTGTCTAGAATCGTGAAACGGATAAGAAATTCCTTTTCTCAGAAACCCCCATTCTCTTTTTTTTTTCTCTCCTCTTTGCCTTTCGGTCATCGATCATTCACGCGGACACGGTGAACGAGGTAGAACGGCCACACGGACGAGAAAAGCTTTTATTAGAAGCATGGACAAACTCGGTCGGGATCGGAGGCCCGTCGTCGGAAACAGATTCGCGAAAAGAAAAAAAAAAAGAACTAGCATCCGATCGAGATAACTCGCACAACCTCGCTTTAACTTTTAATTGAAATTTTCAAATCGCGAGCATTGTCTCGGAGAAAAATCAAAAAAACTATAAAAAAAAAAAGGAGGGAAAGGAGGGCAGAACAACGGGTGAAAAATCAGAGACGACGCAGCGGCGATTGCAATGGGAGAATAATTAATTAGAGACACGACGGGAGAGAAAAGAAACAGACACACACACACGCACACTTACACTTACACACTGATGATGCGGTCAACGCACTTAATATTCGCGATGGTAATCATTGTAAAATAATAACGACAATAAATAGCTCGTAAGCCCGTCTAAGCTAGGCACACCTGTCGATAGTCTTAGATAGTCAAAATGGAAAGGCGAAAGGTGAAGAGAGTGCGCACAGCTCGGTTCCACCTTAAAAAGAAAAAAGAAAAAAAAAAAGAAAATTATCGACGATCGGAAAAGAGTCTCTCGAAAAAATGCGCGTTGTCTTGGCTTTCGATTTACGTTTCGAGACTCTCTCTCGAAATTTCTTCTTTCGTTCACTTCTTTCCCTTGTCTTTTCTTTTTCTTCTTCCTTTCTTCGTTTTTTTTTTTCTTCTTCATCGAACTCTTCACCGTTGTTTCTAACTTCTCTAGCCTTTTTCCTCCTGTGAGCGTCTGAAAATCTTGCGAGATTTGCGAGAGTGTCGACCCAGAGGATTGCATCGATCGTTCGAAGCTACGAATGAAAGGATCACGAATTTCAGAGCTTGTTCGATTGAAACTCCGAAATTGGTGGTTCGCAATTTTTTCCCATCGATCGACGTAATCGTTACTCGTCGATCTTCTCGTGTACATTCGCTCGTTGCGTTAAGGGAGGGAAACGAACAGAAAAATGTAATTGGGGAAAGAGGATGAAGAAGAAGAAGAAGAAAAAAAAGCAAATGCATTTCGTTGAAACTCTCGATAGAGGAAGTTGGTAGGGACTATTAATTAACGACGATCGCACGATCGAACGGCGACGCCGATGAAAAGAAAAAGAAACCTCCCCATCGTTTGCCCGGGACACGATTGTCGACAAGTGAAAACTCACACGTGTATATTTAGATCTAACGACATTATTGTATAATATGTAATTAAAGGAGAAGTGTACGTAGGTCTGGCGTGGCTAGTTCGCGTGACACCCGGGCCTTAACAAGACAGAAGATAATCGAACATGATCTTTCGGACATGCATGCGGTTGTTGAACGAAATCAGATGCGAATCTATTAACATCGATCGAGGCACGAGCTGAATTATTATGCATATATTGAAGAGAGAAAGAGAGTGGAGTGAAAAGAGAGAGAGAATGTGTGTGGAAGAATGCGAGATAGAGAGAATGAAAGAGAGAGAGAGTGTGCATCGAGAGCGTTTCGTTTGAGAAAGAAAAAGAATGTATAATTATCACTAGTAATATTATTATCACTAATAATATAATAAATGTGCCATTTTTTCCATAATCACGGTGTTGCCTGTGACTGCGGCTTCTTTCTTTCTTTTTTTTTT